GCACCTTATTGCATCAGGAATTTTCCAATTACTGAGTTGATTTAGCTTATGGAGCGGCCCTTTGTGATAGATACGAAGGTCTTTGTCTCATTCGTATGAGAATTTTATTCATATGTCCAATATTATTTCCGTCTGAATAGAAATATTTCCAATAAGTGCCGGCCCAGATTTTGCATTGTGTCGCCGCGATTTTCTTTTGAATATCAGTTGGGGGAAAGTGTTGGTATTTCCTTGTATTGTATTGTACTCGGCTTTTGATGTTAGAAACAATTTCATTATTTCGTATGAAAATGGTGCGGTCGGGCTCTGTGGGCGTGTACTCGCGATAGTTCCACTAAAGCTTTCTTTGAAATATGAGAGTGAACGTTTTGACATTTATTATTTTGCACTTATGGATTTATTTATTAGTGTAGTGTATTGTTTTTGCCGTGTTGCTATCATTTCCTCGTTTTTTTCCATTATGTAATCTAGACACCATTCAACATCAAGTCTGATTTGTGCTAATAATCTCATAGAAACAGACAAGTAAAAACAAATAGTCGAATTTAACAACGCTCTTTTTCTCTAGAGCCGAGATCAATAGGTATATAATAGTCGTAACAGCACTCATTCAACAAAGTCAATGAGGCTCCAAAAGGATGAAAACATTAATGACTGTTACAGTTCTCATCAAAACAAATTAATAATGCCCAAACACTGAGTAGCCGTTGAGGAATTATCTTGGCTATCATAGGTACTCCTTCATCATCAGTTCCCTAATTACAACCATACCCTATTTAGGTGTAAAGTTCTCATCACTAGAAATCAATCAAGCCCAAACACCAGGTAGCTAATGTTAACCGTTGAGGAGTTCCCTTAGCTATCATACTACTTTATCATCAGGCCATTAATGACAATCACATCCCATCTAGATATATAGATCTTCTCAATACATATATAAATTTTAACCCAAACACGTGTTTGGGTTAAAATTCCCGGGTGGGACCCCGTGGTCATTGCTACAAATCCTCGAGGAGTTCCCTCAACTGTCTCTTGACTCCATCACCAGATCAACTCTACATCTTCATCAAATTGTAGTAGTACTATGTAAGAAAATTAACAAACGCCCTCGCCGCACATACAATTTTGATAAGTTCCCCTCGTTTTCCACGGGATCCCCTCATCAGATCCTGACCACCCCGAGAGTATGAACTTTCCAACACAAAAAGGAATCATCAAAATCCGTCCACTAACGCCGGAGTATTCTGGTAACATAAACACAAAAAATAATATACAACTGAATTGATAACCTCCTTCTTTTTGGGAAGTCGGTTAAAAATATACACATTTTTTCACTATATTTGCAGGAGTTATCCAAATAAAAATATCGTTATGTTTCGGCAGCATTCATTTTCCCCGAAGCTGAAAACTGTTACCAAAAATGAACGTATGAAATTGTATTTTTCTTTTTTCGTGTAATTTTTTTTCGAACGAGATGAAATTTCCTGAAAAGCTTACAAGTAATCCTAATAACATTAATACTGAAAGAGAAAATGTTTCATGAATAAACTGGATAACTTGGCGAGTCATTATACTATCAAATAATTGGTTCGAGGGAAGTTATAAAGATATGGACCGACAATAACGAACGACGTTGTTTTGTAATCGGAGGAGACAACACTGCTATAAAACATGGAACTCATAAACTTATCTTTAGTTACTTTACCGACTTTTCATATGAAGAATATTGTGATTTTAGTCTCGAAAAGGATAAAATAGGATTTATTTTATAGATATCAAGATTAAATTTTTGAGAATATTTAAAACAAAGTGATTCCTTTTCTGACCTTTTCCTGTCGCGTCGTGGTGGCCCGGAGGTTTGAGACACCCACTCTCATGCATGAGGGTGCGGGTTCGAAACCTACCAACGGCAAGTACCAATGTGACTTTTTCCGAGTTATAAGTAGGTACTTTCTAAGATTATTTAGACACCACTGACAAACGGTGAAGGAGAACACCGTGAGGAAACCTGAGCTTATAATTTCATATTATAAGTTTGAAATCGCCAACCCGCATTGAGCAAGCGTGGTGGTTAATGCTCAAACCTTCTCGTGTGAGAAGAGGCTTTACTCAGCAGTAAGCATTTATAGGCTGTTGATGTGTGATGTGATTCCTTTTTCTTAAAACGATGTTGAAAATGCACTCTTATCGCAAAACTGACGAAAACAAACAGATATTCAGATTTTTATCGACTTTAAACCTCACCTTCATTTGGAATATAATTCAGAATCATGCTCACGTCATTGACCCAAGACCCTGCTCTCTTTTTCGAAGAAGATTATGATACACGTGTTTCACCGTTGGACCTCAGAATTAATTTATAAATAGACGACCTAATGATGGATGAGTTATGAGTTATGGATAGTACAGACAGCCACATTCATCATTTAGATTTTACTGGCCAAACATTGAAAAACATTTGTAACTTCTTACTTTTATTTTTACAAGTTTTAGTTCAAATTGGGTAACAAAATAATGGCTCCTGTGTAACATTGCGTCTAATGTTGGCAAAGCAACTGTCTCAGTGAAATCTCTTACTTCATTCAATGCTACTACCTTCCAACTTTAGTCTATTTAAGGGTATTGAAAATCAAAATAACTAATTTGATGCCCAAACCAAAAAGTCATACTCGGTAGATTCATCGAACATTTTCGTTTTTTTATTTGGTTAAGAAACGTTGCTCCACATTAGGATTTTCTCATGTATCGTGGGTGCGTTTACAGACATACAAGTTCACATACACATGACATCCAGACCCGGAACATCAATTTGTGGATCATACAAAGAGTTGCTCCGTGCGGGAATCGAAACCGCGACAAGTTGCGTGACAGCCGGTTGCCCAGCCACTGCACTAAACGTGTTGTCTGCTCTGTACTTTAGGGAGTAGGTACTAGTAGCCTTTAATTTCAATTACCATACATAATGATAAAACTACAAATTCCCCAAAGTTAGGTATTTTGACATGGGTCTAACGTAGAATGTCATATATCCCTAGTAAGTTTAAAAGTTACCTACCTTCTCGATCAATGTAGGTTTGAGTCATGAGCCCATCAATCTGTCTATCATAGTACTGTCGCAATACCTATAGGTATTGTTGGACTTTTTCATTTCAAAATTTTCTGTACCTAGGATTTAGATTGGAACCCATTTGATGGATAACTATTCGTTTCTATTTTCGTTCATCACTTACAGAACGCTTTAATATATCATTTAGTATATCATACAGATCTTTAAATTGCATAACGTTTTAGCAATTTGTTACAAAAAGGGTTCCTATTTAAATTATTTTTATGCGGTGTGGAATATTCTAATGGAGACTCATAATTTAAACAGCTATATATATATAGCTATGTTCTAAATACAGAGTAGGTATAAGACAAGTCACCAAAGGCACTTAATTTATATTCAAAAATTTCTAGTAAAAGTCCTATTTCCATTTAGCAAAATCTGGTAAACACCAGTGCCGACCCCAAGTTAGTAGAAATAAAATACAACAAATGTTTAGTAGGTACCAGTTTTACCATCCTCAAAGGATTAAAAACAATATGTTATTTACGTACAAAGCGAAAATTCAATATTAAAACCTAGATTTGGAGAACAAACCTAAATAAATTGTGTAGCGGACACAATTGGAACATAAATCTTCAGGGCACCAGACAATTTGTACAGCATTCTTTGAAAGGGTTTGTTCAAGATATAGTTTGTGTTTCTTCCGACCACAAAATATTTTGGGAGAAAATACTTCAGTTATGCTGCAGATAAATCAAAATTGAGAAACTACCAAACTAACACTATTATTTCATCGACGACGCAACGGAAACAATAGCTGGTGCGCAATAAATTCAACTTTATTAATTATCACAGTAATCTCATAAAAGACTGGGGACAACAAAAACTGTTCGAACCAGCTAATAAATGCGTCTCTCTATTTAATAAATATACCATTATCCGAGCTCACCCTACTAGAGTAAATAGAGGAATGGACGATCATTCGCTTGAGAGAGAGGCCGCATCTGGCGCTTGCCAGATTATGTTGGTAAAATTCAATAATCTTTAGAGAGCCAACTGAGAAGGACGTCCATTGCAACTTTTTTCGGTGGACGAAGGAGTTCCAACGACTTTGGTAATCAAATTTGCGTACAGGGCCAGTACAGGCCCTCTACAATTGAGTTCACTAAAGTTCACTGGGACGTTTTCTGTATTCTAAATAAAAAGGTACCGGAAATCAATTTGGACATTTATATACGTTTCTTTTCCTTTTCACTGTATGATATTCTATCCCATATGACGCCTTATTGCTTATCTTACGGCCATCATGAACAACACAGGCCACCGAATTCATATTTATTTTATTCGAAAAATCATGACCCATTTCGAAATAAAACCTTTTTCGAATGAACATTGATTGGAATCGAGAGAATTTATTGCGAAACAAACAATTACCTAGTTTAAATATTCGATTATGAATTGAAAATATTATTTAAATTGCTTCAGAAATATATTATTTACTTTATTAAAATCTCCCTTCTAACTACTAAGTAATTTTATACAACGAACCCTCACTTAATCGACTGATGGTTTATAGAGTATATGTAGTTGACCCAAATTCTTATATGAAACTCATAAAACTGTAAGGACCCTCGTATCTCTTCATGGAAGCCATAAGTATTAATGTGAAAGAAAAATTATTATAGAGTATTATAGACTAGTTTTTCAACTTAGTTTATACCCACAAGTCCCTTTCATTTCACCTTATTGAGAGGACGACTATGTAGACGATATTTTTAATCTAAATCGCTATTATTTACAGATATTTCTTTTTTGTATGTTTGAGTGATATTTTGATACCACGGCCTCACAGAAAACCGACGCGAAGCAACGCTTGCGTTGTATTTCGTCATGTGAGTGAGGTTACTGGAGGCCTACTTACCCCCTCCCCCCTTCTCAATTTCCCCAATCCCTGAATCCCTAACAATCCTCAAACCCCTAATCCCCAAAAGGCTGGTAACACACTTGTAACGCCTCTGGTGTTGCCGATGTGGGCGACGCCGCGCCGATTGCTTACCATCAGGTGATCCGTCTGCTCGTTTACCGGCTTAAACCATGAAAAAAAAATTCACACTAGCAATAATACTGTTTTATATACAAAATCAGTTACCTAAACAAAATACAGTTACATAAAATCAAATTATTTGAAAATTTCTTTCTCTATACTAAGGTATTAAGACATGAAAATTATAATTTACAAGCTTAGATCAGTTTAGTCAGACGGTTAACATTTGCCAAGTCTCATTGTTCTCGATAAGAACGGAATAGTCGATTGTTTAGTAGCCTCGAGACAGCTTCTCCAAATGTTCGATGAAAGTGATTAGAGGTAATACAAGTCTAAGACGACAGAAACAGATATTGAATTAAGTTGACTTTATCCTTATATAAGTCATTTTCTAGAAGGCTTGAGGAGGAACTCGGCTATCGATTTTGAGTCCGAATCAATAAAAAAATTGTAGGTAAATATTTTTCATTTTTCTGTAATCTAGCTTTATTCTTGCTTTCATCTTGTAACTAGTTTTATAACGCGGCTTAACACACACAAACTCAAACACGTAATTGATATTATTCCTAATTCCATGAAACTCCAATAAGAAACATTGCTGTCGCTTATTCTGAAATACAGTCGAACTTAAACGATTTATTATAGCTGTATTTTTAATTATTGCCCCGAAACTTTTTCTTACATTGAACCTTTATGACTTCTGTTACATACCCCCAAGAAATGTCACGGTTTTAAAACTACACCTTGTATAAAAAAATGTGTCGAATAATATACAGTATGTAAATAGAACGGTCCCGAAACACTGACGAAAAGAAATAGTTTTTACAAATTTTAATCGTTTTCGTGTTATTTATGCAACATCAGCCTTGAGCAGTTGATTACAACTATAATTACACAAAAGAAACATTTAATTCCTTACTTCAATGAAAATAAAACTTGTTTTTTACCATTATCATTAGGTAAGTTCGGGAGAGCCATGCTTCGGCACGAATGGGCTGGCTTCACCGGAGTGATACCACGGCCTTACAGAAAACCTAAACAACACTTGCATTGTGTTTCGTCGTGTGAGTGACGTTACCGGAGGCCCAATTACCTTCCGATCCAATCTCCCCAATCCCCAAATCCCCAACAGTCCTCAAATTCCTAATCCCTAAAAGGTCGGTTACGCATTTGTAACACCTCTATTATTTCGGGTGTCCATGGGCACCGTCAATTGCTTGCCATCAAGTGATCGCGCGCGAGCGTTTACAGGCTAATTCCATAAAAAAGGTAAAAATATCACCTATCGGCGTATAATGTTCTCACTACTTTTACTCTCTTTCCGAAAGTGTCATAATAGACACCTAAGAGAGATTAAGATATTATTGCACATTTAACAGAGACCAGGTAGTAGTACTCTTTGATAAACTTGAACACTTTAAACTGTGATCTCCAGCCTACGCTACGTGCCAAGCCTGAACACATTATAAAATCCCCTTATCCACCACTACGGAGGCATATAATCCAGCAGAGGACTGCCTCAAGCTGTTGATGTGTGATATATAAGGGCTTTAGCAAATCTAATATGTAATGTAATATTAGAATACTTAGAATTCATGTTTATGTTAATAATTCTAAACAGATAAGTAAGATAGTAATTAATCATTTAGTGACTTACTTGCAAGTCGTAATATCAGACTAGATTCCACAAATTCCTACAATCATTCATATGAAGCATACCGAAGGCCATTCTAGTATGAAGCTCGATACTTAATCAAGTCAATCAGAGTGCACGCTTCACTCAATAATGATTTGATCGAGCGTCAAGCATTCGACGTTATTAATATACGAAATAACTTTGCTGCCATATTATATTAGATAGAGTGGGTCAAATAGCTATTTTGTTGGTTTATAGACATAATAACGAGGTTATCACAATATTGATAGCTTGGGTGTCTTAAGTATCAATTATTTTTTATGAGTCGTGTATTTATTTTAGCGAAAAAGCGTGGCAAAGTGCGCCTTCCCATGTTACAGCTATTTACTTTTTATACTTCCTTGCGTAAGTTTGAGAACGTCTGAATATTTTATCCCTAAGTCCCTGTTAGGCGTAGGTTTACCATGTTTTAGGCAAAACGTTGTTGTACATTTTCTAACAGTTAACTCTCATATGTTTTTGGGATTACGTCTTGCGAATGTTTTAAGAGCTGAATAAACGTAAACAAGAACGTTAGATCCAATTCTTCAATGTGCGTTTATTTATAAATAGTAACGGGAGGTATTGTCTTAGTTTTCGTTTTATTTTTAATATTTTATACAAACCCCGTAAACTGGAATGAATATCTTGAAAGTTTTTGTCATTAATTCTAAGTCCTAACGTAGTTTACGTTACGTTTAAATTAAAGGTATGAATGAATATTAAAAGCACGATATATAAACAAGTGGTAACTTGCAGTTGTGCGTAGAACCCGTAGTGCCCGGTATATGGCAATAGGCTCACCCCCTATTACATGGGACTCATAACATAAATAGTGAAAAGTGGATGTTACATTGTACAGTGGCATAATGTGCACCTCTGCCTACCCCCTCGAGGATAAAAGGCGTGATGTTATGTAATGTATAAAAGTAAACAAAAAATACAGTATGCCTCCGTAGATATGTTCGTTAAATATTCAGACTAATGTAGTAAAAATTGAGTTGCGTGCATAAGATATACATGGCCCAGCATTATTTAGAAAACAAAGAAAGAAAATCCGTTTATTACGCCATGATAAATACGTACTCAAAACTACAGGTATACACAAAAAGAAGTCCATGGTAGCATCGCAGTGCAAAAGACCGGAGCTCAGCTTAATGCTGTAGCCCGGACACGAAGGCTCGAGTTCACGGAACTGATTTTCAGTACCAGCCAGTCATTTAATTAGAATTTACCGTTTCATGTTCGACAACATACTAACTACATAGTTTCGAGAAGGCTTGCGGTGAAAAGGCAGGCAGAGGTTAGAAGATTATTAAGCGATCGTATATTCTGACCGTAAATCACAATTTATGAAAATCATCTCTATATCTATAATGTTACAATCAGTATTTCAGCAATGCATGCATCGGAGGATCGATGCGGGTTCTACCGCCGTCACTAAATCGTTGGGTGTACATAATTCATATACCTATTACATGCAGGGCGGTGACCGCAGACCGAGCGAAAATTTAGCGGTACCAAGCCCTTGTATTTTATATGGTAGAGTTATCGAGATGAAATGTGGTGACAAAATTACATATGAACGCAATATTGGTACGAGATTTAATGTTATTAAACATCCTTTGATTTTATACAAACATCCTTTGATTTGTAACACGTAATGTTGTTTATGTATGATCTCAAATCAAATCTCATAATAATATTAGGTATGAATAAAATTACGGAGCCGCCGGAAGACTAAAGGAGCTGCGAAAGATTTAACGGGTTGCCAGGGGCTCTGGCTCGAAGTGCAGGAGTAGGAACGGGGTGGTTTTTAGTCAGTAAGAGTCTGACACTCCCTCTCGCCTCACCCGGGCGGGAGAAGTCATTGGATGATTTTCCCCCCTCAAAAAAAGGGTATGATTAAAATATAATTACTAATTAGAAATGTAATGATACTTTCTGTGTGTGTTCTGAGATAAGTAATTTTGTGACAGTAAAACCAATGCGGGTGGATCAATCAAAAGATCAATGGTGGTGTGATGCTACTTCAGTGATGTTAAATAAACTTTTTCTTTTCTTACTATCATAACAAGATGTTTTTTTTTATTGAATAAGCCCGTAAACACCAGTAAACGAGCTGGCGAATCACTTGATGGTAAGCAACCGGCTCATAGACACTCAAAACACCAGAAGTGTAACAAATGCGATACCGGCTTCTGGGATTATAAATTTTAGGATTGTTGGGGATTTGGGGATTCGAAAGATTGGAGAGGAGTAATTGGACTTCCAGTAACTTAACTCACACGAGGAAACACAACACAAGTGTTGTTTCACGTCGGTTTTCTATGAGGCCGGAGTATCACTTCGGTTGAGTCAGCCCATTCGTGCCAAAGCATGGCTCTCCCACACGGTGTCTAGAGAAAAGATTACATTATATCAATACTGAAGGAGGTGTTCCCGAAGACACTCAGATTTAGTTTGCAGTCTCATCAAAAATAATTATCAAACGACAGACTCCATTAAGGTACACGGTAATGGCACGGCTGCGGAACGGCGTTTTTATACTTTGGAAAACCAACGGTAGGTTGTCAGTGCGTAAGGGTAGTTCACCGCCTGACCAGAATCAGACCCGTGCATCTGCGAATCGGAGATCAGTAAGAGTCTGACACTCTCTCTCGCCAACCCAAGGCGGGAGAAGTCACTGGATGATTGTCCCCTATTAAAAAAAAATATCCTACTATAGAGGTAATGGGAAAGTTTGTATGTTTATTAGGTACTCTTTTACTTCAAAACAGCTGAAGAGATCGGGATGTAATTTGAAACAGAGGTAGATTATGAGAATAATATATAGGCTATATTTTATCCTATAGGGATGCGAGCGAAGTCTCTGGCAGAGGCTAGTACGACGTAAGATTTAATGTTCTTTAATGACAAGTTAACAGCTGTGTTCGAGCGATGACGTCATCGTGTCTTTACTTTAAACCGATTTACGTTTTCGCGAAATCTCGTAATTTAACAGAATTAAATTTTAAAGAATTAGGCTCACAGATTTATAACGAATTAAAATCATTCTATGGTTTCTCGACCAGTGGGTTCAATGACCGCGGGTCAGCAAGCATTTGGGAAATTCAACAATAGGCCTGAGGGTGAAATAACTGAGTAGAGAGGGTATCTCCTATGGAACAAAACGATGCTCCATAATGCTTCTGCTTTCTCTTATGAATTGTAATTTAATTCAGAAACAATTCGTATCGTTTTTACGTAAATAGTATTTCTAATTTGGTTCTGAGGCCAGGTAGATCAAACAAAATGTGGCTTATAATACATTATTTATCCTGATTGACTGATCACAATAATATTTTATTTACAGCACAATTTAACTCAGTTTTAAAAAGGGAATTAAATGTTAGATAGGAAGACTGCCTCATTGGCCGAGTGGTCGCAAGTGCGACTGCTGGACATGGGGTCTCGGGTTCGAATCCCGGGTCGGGCAAAGTATTACTGGGTTTTAAAAAGATTCTGAGTGGTAGCACGGAGTCTGGAATTTTGCCCGGTTTATGCCAATAGGCTCACCCCCTATTACATGGGACTCTATAACATAAATAGTGAAAAGTGGGTGTTAAATTATACAGTGGCATTAAGTGCCATAATGTACACCTCTGCCTACCCCTTTGGGGATAAAAGGCGTGTAATATCTTATAAGAAGTATGTTACATTTCATGTAGTTATGTACTCAACTAATAAGGTTCACAATTACTATGAAATTATAAAATAATTGAGGTAACAGTTTATTATTTACCTATAATTATTGAACAAGATACTAAGATATGTGTCTCAGTATCATTATGGAATCTGATAGGCTAATACAAACCGTACAAATGTTGTTATTAATAATTATAATTAATCTAATATACTAAATTGGCGTAAATTCAACTGTAAAGTGATGATCAAATTACATGTAAACCCATGAATACATAATAAACTTAGATTAAGTTTCTCTTATTACTTAATACACTGTCACCAAACGGTGATGGAAAAAAAATGTAAATAAACCTGGGCTTATAATTTATTTATTAACTCTTTAATGCACACAAAATAAGGTACATAAGGCGGACTTGGCCAAATGGCATTTTCTCCCAGTCAACCTTTGGGTTAAATATAGAGTCAGCGAAAATAGGCTAATTTCTTATTATAAGTTTTAAATCGCCAACCCGTATTGATTAATGCTCATACTTCTCCTGTTGATGTGTAAAGTTTTTCTACTATACAAATTAAAGATTTCATCTATTTTTTAATAACAAAATGACTTCGACTTCCATAGGTTTTCTTATTAATACGTCAATCTCAAACAATAGTAAAATGAATGTTTAATTTATTTTTATTTGATCATTTACCACCAGGTGATCCATACGGTACGGCACCGTACGGCACGGCGGTGGTTGGGCAACTGGCTGCCGCGCAACGTGTCGCGGGATCGATTCCCGATCAGAACAACTCTTTGTGTGATCTACAGATTGTTGTTTCGGCTCTGGGTGTCATGTGTATGCGAACTTGTATATTTGTAAGTGCACCCACGACACAGGAAAAAATCCAAGTGTGGGGCCATGTTTTATAAAAAGAAAAATTTTCAAAA